AAAGTTTTTCACCGTTGTTTATTTAAGAAAACTTAGGTTGCTAGGGGTGACGTTCGGTCTCCAAGGAGGTGATCAGCACACTGCGTTACCGATTTACTCCAACAATTACGATAACTACAACTCGCAAAATTGAACAGTCGCTTGTAGTACGGCGAGCGAGAGTTTTAATATTTCGGAGGGCGCCAGACCGTTGACCGTGCAGCAGGCGTAGGCGTGGTTTAGAATATGGAGGCTTTTGAGGGGGTCATCGTGCTGGGACAATGCGGAAAATAGCATCTTCCAGTGCAGCACTGAAAAAATCCACAGCATCATTCACGCTAGCGGCTGTTTCGATAAATGGCCAATCAATTTCCACAAGCGCATTGTTCAATGCAACATTATCAGCTCGGTGAAAGTTCAAAGAGTAGCACTCAGATGACAGCGTAAAAACAATCGGCGAAGGTAAACTAAATGACAGCGGGATTCAGGATAATAAAGCACTCTCAAATCTTAGTGTCATTAAAAACTTTGTTGTTGTTAACCAATCTTTATGGAATTTTCAGGACTTAGGAAATAACCAAAATGCAATCGTTTCTCAGAATTAAACATAATTTTAATATGAAACTCCAAAGATTTTCACAGTAATCCAAATTTTTACAGGATTCCCAAAATTGTTATATTTAGCTTACTGAAAGTTTATTAGGAATATAGTCAAAAAAGCTTTTCAAATTTTTCTACCAATATATCAACCGAAACTGGTTTTGTCATTCAGACTTTAAATGATCATCAAATATTATCTTATCTTAACCCTCTACTGCATTTTTTTTTTAAATTCTGCATGCTTTCTTTCGAAAAGCCTTTAAGATAGTATGAAATTTTTTATTACGAAATATTGCAGCAATTTTAACAAAACTTGGAAACTAGAACTCACAAGGAAATTCTTATCCGAATTAAAAAAAAGGTTCAGTCTAAATTTTATAACGATTGAATTTTCTCTTTGAAGTCATGAACATTTTTTTCAATGATGTTTTTTATACTGAACATATATTTTTAATATATCTTACCAGAATGATTTAGTTAAAATTTTCATGAGAATGTTGGAAAAATAGTTTATCTTTTCAACCGTTGACACAACTTTTGTTAAAAAATTTCTCGCGAAAATGCGGGTGTACCCGAGCAAAGTCCAGCATCAAAATGACAGCAAATTGAAATCAAGTTTTGATATCAACATCAAACTGAAATCATAATTTGATTTCAGTTTCGCAATTCACAAATTTGATACCAAATTTTGTTTTCATTTTGGTGTACATTTGCTCTTCAACAATATGTTGTTACGGGTTTGTTTTCATTGCCTTAGCATAAAATCAAATTGAATACTTGTTTTGTTATCAACAGGAAAAAATTATATCAAATTTAGTTTTCAGTTTGCTCTCACTGATAGCCAGGGATGGAAAATCATTTACATTCATTTCGTGCATTCATTTACATTCATTTGCCTCTAACTTTTTTCACAAACAGAATTCCGCAAAATAGTGTTTGAAGCTTTTGTACGCTTTAATATTAGCTACATCTTTTTTAAACAACTCAAATCTGTATCTCTTATGCTTGATGAATGTTTTTCAGTGAATGTAAATTGCATTCACTGAAAAACAATAGCATGTTCTGCCAGCTCTAGTTCGTCATGTATAAGAGATTCAGATTTTAGTTATTGACAAAAGTTGTAGTTAATTTCAAAAGCTACAAAAGCTTTATACATCATTCTACGGTATTCTGTTGATGAAAATCTGTTAGAGGCAAATGAATGTAAATGAATGCACGAAATGAATGTAAATGATTTTCCATCCCTGCTGATAGCAGAAATAGTTTTCTATGTGATGTCACAGGAAGATTTTTTTGCTCTCAATTTTGATATTTTAACCGTTAAAACGACCAAAACGACAGCAACCTGAGCAATCATTATCAGCGAAATCACAACATCAAATTTAGATTTCAATTTGATCTCAAACTTTGCTCGGGTAGTGTGTTGTGGTAGGTTAATACCTTTTTAGACTTTAGAGTGAATCAGCTTTTTTTGTTCGGCCTTTTGTGATTTGGCCTTCTGTCCCCTTTAAATTCAGAGATAACTACATAGCGGCTGAGACTAACTCAAACTAAAGGGCGAACACGAAATTATTGCGACACATTCAACAGGGCATAACTTTTTTACCATTGTTTTTTTTGCAATTTTGCACACTTTCTCATTGATGTGTATTGTGTACATGCTGTCAAACTCGAAGTCATGTTTTTCGATTCAACGAAAATGGAGGTGAACCAACGCGAGTTGAGAGAACAAATTCTTTCCAAACGCCTGGAATTTCCTGACCTGTCGCACAGGGCACAGTAAATGGCGAGATCTACAAATCTGAGTGCCTCGAGAAGCGCCTTTTGCCGTTCTTGCAGCAGCACGACGAAGCTCCGCTATTTTGGCCAGATTTGGCATCATGCCACTATTCTAAAAGTGTCCTGGAGTGGTATGAGGCCAATTCTGTCCATTTTGTTCCAAAGGACATGAATCCGCCAAACTGTCCGGAGCTGCGCCCGGTGGAGCAGTACTGGGCAATAATGAAGCGGGAACTTCGGAAGAGCAAGAAGACAGTCAAAGACGAGAAGGACATGTTAAGAAAATGGAAAAAAAAACTGAGAAACTGGTACCGGATGACACTGTAAAGACTTTGATGGAGGGCATCAAGCGAAAATGCGTTCAATTTTACACTCAAGGCTCCATCGATTAACTTTTCTTTTGATTTTTTAAGTAAATATATGTATAAAACTACCCTAAAATTTTGGTTTGATTCTAAACATTATAAGAAAATTGGCATGACATTTTCGGTGTCGCAATAATTTCGTGTTCGCCCTTTAGAGTCGAATTTCACAAATGTTTTCAAAAACCGGTGTAGTTCATGCATTGAGTAAGCGGTGCTCGATAATTAATTTAACGTACGTTTTTAGCCTCCCTTAGCGTAAAGGCGAAGCTATAAAGCAAGAGCATGCTATAGGCGACTAGGTTCGATTTCTGTTTCGGTCTAGGAATTTTTTGGGTTGCAAAATTTCTCGACTTCCCTGGGCGTAGAGTATGATTAGGGGAAATCGGGTGAACCGAAAAATAACCAAAATCAACACGAACTGGTAAATACCGAGAAATAACCGGGAAAATGATCTCAAAATATGTTGGTATATATTTTGATCGATTTCTGTTAAAATCCTGTCTTGCTCTGTTATATTTAAATTTAAGTTTGTCCTCTATTTTGCTTAATTTTCATTGGACTTGGATTGATTCATTAACAAAAATTCTAAGGAGGTTTCACCGATCAGACTTATAATGGTGTTTGACTCGTAAAGAGTATACCTTGACCAGAATCTTAAATCTTTTGTTGAAAGAATTAAATCTTAAAAACTGTTGAAATTTGCAGAGTTTAAAAAGTACAAAATCTTGAATCTAGAATTTTTGTGTCTGGAATCTTCATTCTCAATTTCGAAAGTAACTAGATCATCGATTCTCAAAGTTCCACTATCGTTGATGGAGTCCTATTAATGAATATTTTAAGTCCGTTTCTATAGCACCTAAAATTCACGCTTGAACCACAGACAAACAGACGTAACTCTTTGAAAAACTTGTTCTTGAAAACATAGTATCTCAAAACATATAACCTCAGTAACGACATCTCTCTGGCTTCTCGCGGAAAACAAGCTTGCTCGCTAACTCGTAAACAATATTGCATAAAAGTTCTATAAAATATATAGAAACGTCAAAGTGATCCGATGCTAGCGCTGCGGCGAGTAGTTCGCGGAACTGATAATATTCAAATCAACCGTTAAATGCATGAACGAAGATACACAATGAAGAGTTACGTCTGTTTGTCTGTGCTTGAACCTAAAAAATAGCAATAACCCGAGTCAAAGATTTTTCATATGATTTTAGAATAGAATTATTAATGCACGTTCGCAGTCTATTTTTCCAAGCTAGAGATCTCAAAAACCTTACTGTTACACTTCTCTGAAATTTCATGCTCAAAATTCTTGAACAATTTTTTAAGACCGACCGTAAAATGTGTTTTCAATTACTGAAATTTACTGAATTATTTCATAGGAACGAACTTATCTTAGGATATCATTTGTTTAATCTAAGGTCTTCAAAATACGCATTATTATTTGAAGTTAGAAATCTCGCAAAGTTGAAGAGTGCGAAAATGTATAATTTAAAAAAAATCCTAGTACGAGTACACTCGATTCTGTTTAAAGGTGTGATTAGTGCCATTTATATGCTTCTCCCATACATTTCAAAGCGTAACTTGAAAATTTATTTTGTTTTTCCTCCAGTTTTCTGCATTTTTAATAAAATTCTAAAACTTTTTTACCCGTGACATCAATTGCTGAAATCAATCATGGTGGTATCGCTTTTTTTTTAACTATATTGAGCTGTTTAAATGAAACCGGAAAAACATATTTTGGGTATCCGGGACAAACCGGGAAAAACAGGAATTTTATTTCGCATAGAAAGCTCTCAATTAACAACTGTGAGTGTGCTCAAGAAGTTCAATTCATGCATTGCTTGGCATAGAAAGCTCTCATTCAATAACTGTGGAAGTGCATCTAGAACGCTTGAGATCCTGTTAAATGCTCGGTGAATCAGTGGGGCGTTCTTGATCACTAACTATTTGCGTTTTATTTATTTAGATAACACATTACGCATTATCACGGTATATTCTAGCATGCGTAAACCATAAAAATATCAAATAAGGATAATAAATTCTATTTATAAATGCTTATTCTATGCTTTTTCTGTGCTGAGATAAAGTTTGCTTATGTGAAGCTATGCATTATAAAGTGGATGCATTTATCAATGGAATCTGTTCCTTTAATAAATGGTGTCAGAAGCTAGGTGGTGTAAAAAAAAACTATTTTTCAGATTTATGTCCAAATGTTTGTAAATTAAAACTAGAAGCAAACTGGCTGGTTTAACTGAAATGTGTGTGTATATATACCTGTATATGGTAACCGGATTCGAATCCTCACTAATATTGTCGTTATTATTGTTATTGTCATTTCCAGTTGCTGAAGCAACATTACATAATACAACTGACATCCTGTAGGCTAAATCTAAAATGCCCAGCGATGTTTTTAGCCGTTTAAAAATACTAATTATACATAAACACGTGCCGTTGCGTTTCTTTCCACGGTATCAATTGCCTTTTATGCCTATGTCAAGGTTATTTACACATTATAAATTGATTTTAGAATCACTGTCCTTTGATGAACGCCTAGCATAAACTGATTTTATTAGCATTGATCCTTCCTGAGATACGGATCATAATTTACGTATTGATTAAAAATACATCGCATACAATTGCAATAAGAATCGTTAGAATTCCGTTGTGCTACAGCATAATAAAGCAATAAATTGAGTTTTGCTCTTACCGCTAACTATTGTTTATTGTGTGATTGTGTACGGTCTATCAATCGTTATAAGAATTGTTAGGATACCTTCAATTCTAGGAGAAAACATGTTATTGTACACATACACATGAAGGATACCTTTTTATTTGTTCTGGGATGAAAAACCATGCGCTTCTCTTTTTCTTCATCAGAGTACTCGATCTTTTCCAATTTTAATGTCACAGTCGTTAAAAAACAGAAGCCATTATTTCACAGCTTCCAATTGCATAAACTATTTTGTTCTAGGTCTCATGTTGGAAGGCTTCTTTGGATGTGTCTTTTGAATATCATGTATATAAAATCGTTTAATCAATATATTCAAATTTCTATGTTCTAATTATCATAAATGTGAAAAGAATCTATGGAGAACAACTAACATCAAGAGAACAGAAAACATGGGTACACTAAACTATGTTCGAAAAGATGGGATAGTTCGATCTGTAAAGTTTTTTGATGTCTAGCTCTAGGTCTTCTATTTTTGTACGTACAGAAAGGTAATAAAATAGATAGAGCAGAATAATGGAAGACTATGTGGGCAGAATTTTTTAATGCGGTATCTCACATGCACAATGTATTTTTAATCACTATTTTTTATACTTTTATTTATAGTTGATCTACAAGGGAAGGATATTGCACACATATCAGAAAAATCAATTTGAGGGTTTTTTAAAACGAAAATTTATGTTAAAATCACAATAATAAAATTGTGAATTGACACAGATTCATACACAAAACAAGTTCTACATTAAAACATCGACACCGACTGACCCTGCTGGGACCTCTTCCTATAAACTTGTTTTAAATAATTTTCATAATCCATGATTGCGATCGAATAATGCTTTGATCTTGGATAATAGTGCAGTTAGACACTTCATTGATTCACACAAATTTCGATCACTCGCGTGAAAATACGGATTTCTACACACTATTACAGCACAATTTACTCTTAGCTTCTTATTTCACTAGAACATCAAACCGAAAATTAAGTCAAAGAAACATTAACTACATTAAGCTTCGCTTTACATAACACTCTGAACCACGATCCACGGTGCGGTACAATAAATAAAAATCTATTTTCCAATTTTCGTCTCCAATAGCATCACAGAAAAAATGCCTGCAATCTCGGAGCGGGCTATAAAGTTTCAATTCTCGCATAAGCTCTCATACTCTCAGCATCTCTTTGAGATAACATATCCGTCGGCGACGAATGTGGAAAGTATGCAAAAGAGCAGAATACACAGAGAGGAAAACGGTCTATATTTTTCTCCTGAACGAAATTTGGGGGTAAGATTTTCTCTTTTCCCTTACGTCATCGTTCTATGCTACTAACTGAACATGTGTAAGCCATATCGGCATTTTCATTCTGTTGGTGTTTGTCGTTGCTGAAAGGCCAAAAACAAAAGCTTCGGCAGCGTTGGCAGTAGACCAAAGAAATCCAGAAAATAGCCTGCTGTTTTAATATTTCTCATTTACTATTGAATCCCACGGTGATCGATTATATATTTTTAACTCTATATTTGTTCCAAATTAAAAATAAATTACATTTCATTTACATTTACATTTCACTACAGTAACTTACCTGCCTTAATAGGTATGATATAAATGTATATATATATATACATATATTTATCAATTTTATCTAGATGAACGCGTTATTGGGACGTTACTAATGGATATTTTTGGTATATGTGTATATATATATTACAGCCATTCTATAGCAAAACGATATAGTGGTTCTCAGGATTTCGTAAGAATTGGAAGTTTTGTTCCATATCGAAAAATATTAGACCCGTATTTTTTTATTTTCTCATTAGGGTGAAAATTTTCCTGGGTGGTCAAAAAAATTGATTTTTTTTTCTATTTTTTCCATAGATGGCATTTTTTAAAAATCATAACTTTTGAACCATTGAACCGATTTGAATGATCAAAATATCAAATAAAAGGTTATTAAAAATGCATTTCAAAATAAATATTTTATTTTTTTTTTTTTTTTTTGAAAATAGGAGTTTTGTATAGAAGAACTTTGATTGTATTTGTTTTTTTCTTATTGTTTTCATGGGGATAACGACGACACCAGGAAGAAAGCTGAGCAGGGCGTCTTTAGCAGAAGAAACTTTATCACTCGTGCGTGATTTCTATACCAGTGGCGAAATAAGCCGAGCCTGTCCAGGAAAACGCGACTATGTTATTACAAAAAATGTTGATGGTAAGGTTTATATACAACGAAGATTAGTATTGTGTAATTTGCAATAAGTTTATGCAATGTCAATGTTTGCAAGTAACCGCCCTAAGCATTGCATTCTGGCAGGAACGAGTGGCACATATATTGTGTGTGTGTTTACCACCAAAATGTTAAATTAATTTTTAAAACTCTTCAAGGTAGAAAGTCACTTCCAGCTGATGTAAAATCATACCATGACTTGTTTTTTTAAATTATTTGCACCAACCCCACAGAACAGTGTTGGTTAAAAATGTGTGAACATTGCGCAGGTATACAAAATTTGACTTCAGAAATGGTTACTATCCTGACCGATGGAAATGTGGAATCCTTAAAATTTAAACAATGGCTGACCGTTGTATCATGGATTTAGTAGAGTTGGAAACTCAAGAGTTTATAGACATGTTTTTGGAAAAGTTATCCGATTTATCACCACATAATTTCATAGCTGAACAACAAGGTAAATACTTGAAATATGTCAAAAGTAACTTGAAAGTAACGGAATGTATAATAATATGTGATTTTTCTGAAAACTTTTTATTTGTTGTACAAGACGCTGTACAAGGATTTCATTGGGCAAACGCACAGTGCACTATACATCCATTTGCTATTTATTATAGAGATGATCATACGAAAGATTTAATGTTTACTAGTTTCAGTGCAATCGCTGAGTTCACCAAGCACAACCATGTTTCAGTTCGATTATTCGTAGTTAATTGTATAAATTTCATCAAGAGTAAGATACCCAGCCTTAAGAAAATTCACTTTTTCTCAGATGGATCAGGCAGTCAGTACAAAAATAAGATGACAGCTTTTAATTTGTGCCATTTGAAAAAGGATTTTGGTATAGATGCGGAGTGGAACTTTTTCGCCACATGCCACGGTAAAGGTCCTTGTGATGCTTTGGGAGGAGTCTTGAATCGAAATGCTGCTAAAGCAAGTTTGCAGGGGCATCTCATTACAACTGCTAAAGAGCTTTATACATGGGTAATTTCTAAAATCGATTCAAAAATGCACTAGGGCTTTTTTTCAGACGCAGATCATAAAGCGATGGAAAGAAAATTTAAAACTCGTTATAATCGTGTCAAACAAATTTCCGGAACATAGTCTCGTTCTCAGGAGAAGAACATTCTGTGAAACTTTGAAAGTATCTTTAAGCATGTTTTATGTCTACAAATAAAAAAAGAAAATAAAAAATTAATGAATTTTATTTCAAACCAGCCATGTGCATAGTTGGAAACCATAAGATTGTCTTATCAAAGCATTGATTCTAGTCCAAATATGGACTAGATATGGATTTCCAAACAGTCCGTGAAAGATGTACTAGCCAAATTTAATATAAATATATTCTATTTGAATTCCTATGCTATGAATCACTGTAGTAATTATTAATTACACATAACGCAAAAGCAATCAATAAATTTGATTCAAGTTTCTATGAATGTCATGGTAGTCTAGGATCAGAAATTGAAATAAGTAAGTAATGTAACCATGTTTCATTCGATATGTATCAATGGAGACGCAGGGTAATCTAGTCGTAGTGGAGTAATGAGCAAATTTCTAAACATGATAATTTCAATAAATCTTAACTCAAAAACGAAGAAAAATACATCACTGATTTTTTGTATATGTTGTGTAGAAAAGCCTAACAAAAACAAATACAATCAAAGCTATTTTATACAAAACTCAAATTTTCGAAAAAAAAATATATATATATATTTTTTCGTTCGTAGGTACAATGCATGGTGGTATATTTAAGGATGAACTTAGAAGTGAAATAATCAGTAAGGAAACAAAAGCTCTGTTAATCCAAAGATATTCTGTACAGCCAGGGTTTTATAAACGATGAATTTTAAGTGTTCTTGTTGCTGTTTGTGGGTTTCAAATGCTTTAAAGAGGAATCTTACCCAAGCTCTTCAAGTTCATGCGATGAAGAAAAAAGTGAAATTAGATGGCAGTTCCTTCATATGCAGAAATTGCTACCTCAAACCGTATTAACCCGCACCCAAAGAGTCCACCGCTGGACCATCCGGAGTTCCTACTGTCAACAGCCAAGGTGAATATTGTATTTAAAAAATGTATTTACATTGGTAGCCATGAGTCAAACGAGCATGACGTCACATTATAGCATTCTGAAAACTGTGGAACGTCAGGCTCGAATGTAGTGTAGTGTTTACAGTAATGTGAAATATGTTTTTTAACTTCATTTTCAGAGTCACTAGAAGCACCCAGTTTACAATCGATCAGAAGTACTGACAGTGTGCCTACTACAAACGATGATGAAATCATTCAGCAACTCAAGGAAAAGTTTCTAGAAACTCATGATAATAATGAGAAGTATCGCATTCTCACCACTTTACCTAGAAGCTGGTCAGCATATAAAATAACGAAGGAATTCCGTGTTTCTCAATATATGGCGGATCGGATCAAAACACTACAAAAGGACATATCACTGCCACTTAGAGTTTTCTAGGGAGTTAATCTCGGGCACTATTGCGATTTAAGGCACTAAATTACCATCACAGTTTTTGTTATTCTATGTTTTCCGGTAGCAGATAATGGCCTCCTGGAATAAGCGAAGTGGAACCAGAGCCCGAGGTTCTCGAT